GTATTGTTACGGCCCCACACGAAGTATATGTAAACATATATACTAAAAGGGCTCTGTCACCCTAAATTTTTGTTCGGACCCATTTTGTCCCCTCTCCAGCCCTCTATCACAATTGTATAACGCTATAACTGGATAACCCAATAATGCTCCCTTACGACTTAAAGAAGTCTCTCTAGCCACTCTCCAGCTGCATTTTTGAATAAAATAATGATGTGGGTTATTATGTAAGTTTTAGAGAAACTGGACACCACTTCTTAACACAATGAGAAATGTTCCAATATTTTTAATAGCTATCTTCAGCCATTTTACACTACTTCTTTGGCAATTATTTTATCTATATAATTTGTTAACATTTTTCCACATCACCCTTGAGGTAGTGCTATGGCGCACTGATTTTTTTTGTTCAATTCTCTGTAAGTTTATTAATTGCATTAATTAAAATGTACAGGAATATAACATTATTTTCATACTTAATCAAAAAACAAGAAATTAGTTCTCGATAAGTTAATTAGTGGCATTATTTTAAATCACCATAACAATCATTCCAATTCTTAAACTAAGCTCATGTGGTAATAAGCCTTCACGTATATTATTTAGAAATTCAATTGGAAATTTATTTAAATATTATTATCAGATTCTTTAGCAACTTTGTTAGTAGCATGATCTATGCTGTAATATGTTCTTATTTCCTTTTTACACGATTCAGAAATTTTATGACTCAAAAAGTCAGTATATTTGTTGTGAGATGTAAGTATAGCGTTATTTACTGAAAATTTAATATTTTTATCAAAAATTTTGAAACGAACATTAGTTGTTTTTCATTTATTTGTCATGAGTACTTGTAATTATTTCATTTTTATTCCTGCAACAATTAATAATAATTGTAACAATGTTTTGTCAATCAAAAACTTTTTTGAGAGGTTTTTTGGTGATTTCTGCGAATTTAAAAATTAAATTTGGCTGTACTAAGGTATTGAGTTTTTTTTCTCTTTTGAAATGCTTAATCAAAAATTGTTTTTTTTTTTGTAAAACTTTTTCCTTAAATGACTCCGGACACTAAGAACCACACAAAAAATTTTTTCAAATGGCATAACAGTATAACGTTACATGTTTCTTAAAAAAATATTATTATTTGAAAATCGTGTTCCAATAAATCTGAAGTGATACCAGCGTCTTTAAAGGTACTATAAGGGATTCCAGTAACTGTTCCTAACATTTCAAAAGATTTTAATACATTAATGCGATTAATTATTAGTTTAAATAGAACGTTTTTAGTCCTTAGGAGGCACTGTGGTATGTCGACCTGTATTCAAATTATTTCAAACCCTTTCTCATTTCACCCATGTTCTTGTTATTTAATTAAAACAGTAGTATTTAAGAATATTATCATAGCAAATATTTTTGTGCAAAATTTTGGCAATGGGAAAGACAAAACTTTAATTGTTGTTAACGTGGAAGATTATTTGTACCTGATTTAAGTCTGCATGATAATTAATTAAAGCACCTAATAACACGATAATAGTTTGAAAAATTTAAGTCAATATTACAATAACATTTTATTTTTTGCATTATTAAGTGCCAATGTCGTAAATAAAAAAAAAATATTTATAATTAAAAAATTCAAGATCAAGTGTGTCGCATGACACCTGAATCTTTTATTAACAATTCTAATAATCCTTTAACAGTCAGTTATATATTTATGATGATGACCTCTTTTCAGAAGACAAGCCTTTGCCAAAATTGCTTATTTTAGTTTTTTTTTTTGTATATATCATTTTTATTTGTATCTGTTTCATTTGTTGACTTATTTTATTTTTCTGAATCATAATTTTTCGACTTTATGTTACTATTGGTGACACTAAAAATTTTTCTTTTTTTTAGAAATTGTTAAGCTTATATTGTCTTGCAACTTTCTTTTATTTCAAAATTCAATACTATTCGTTTATGATTTTCTTTAGTTTTTCCTGACCTCTGACATTATTATGTTGTAGTAAGTCATAAGCTCCGCTGTCATTATCACCAAAAAATGGTGTGAAATATAGATTACTTGATATGTTTCCAATACTATCAGTAAAATTTTAATTTTCATATTAAATTGTTAAAAAGTATCGTGAATCTTAACAAAACTTTGTAGTTGAACTTCTGTTCCGAGAATTCCATTTTTTTTATAAAAATATTTATATGCAATATACATTTCTTTTTAGAGTATAAAATCGCATGACTTATAAAATAAAACTGAAAATGGAGTAGTTGTGTTAAATCATACCAATCTTATTTTGGAATAGAGTATTGGGAGGTTGGTGCATGAAGCGCGCAGGTGGATGAAGCCTCTTCAGTACACATATACATATGCAGATATTGCTTTTGATTGAAGACTGATTCAAAAAGAAACTGATGTGAACAGATGTGCCTTAAGATAAATTTTTTGATATAAAATATTAACATTTTATTGATAATAAATGTTGTGCATTAATTTAAAGCATACAATGAATTAATGAGTACTATCATCAAGGCAGTGGCAGAAGAGTTTTTAATTTTTGTTAGAAGTCATACAGCTATTAATTAAGCAGTCTACCTTGGAAACTTAAGGAAAACTTGTATTCAATAAAATAAATTCTAAGAATAGTATAAGAGAATTCAATGCAATCAATAGTTTGAATGTAGTTTAAGAAACTTGATTATTTTACAAAATTAATAAAGTGAGTGAATATTTCAGAATATTACATTCTCACTGTGAAACTGAAAATTGGGGTAAAAAGAGAAAATATAATAAAAAATGTTGAAATAAGTAGACTTAACAAAATATCTTCAAAGGATCATGAACGGTTTCCTTCAAAATTCATATTATATAAAGTGAATAGTGCAACATCTTTTGGGGACATTGAAACATACAATAAAATCAAAAATCAAACCTCTAAAAATACTGCAACTGCATTGAGTTTAATTGATCGTGATTTGTAAATCGATATTATTTTTGAAGAAGCAAAGACTCTTAGGTTTCCTACTCAATCAAAACCATTTTTTGCGTGATTTTTGATCACAGAAATTTTTATACGTAATAAAATACAAAATCAACACAAACAATATTACAGAAGATTTTGTTGGTAATCAGGATGATCGTGCTTTTGTATACATGCACTAAATTTTCAATTTAGTAAATAAATCATGTACATATTTTAATCTACCTACCCGAAAATAAATAAAAGATACAAAATCTTATGGATGAAGAAGTATCTTTTAATTAAGGAACGTTTGATTCATTGTATACCAATGTAAATAATGATTTTAAAAAATATTCTATACAATTTTCAGTAAAAACGACGGAATTTTTTCTATTCATGGCTCTGGAATTTTAAGAAAAAACTATTTATAAAAACCATCAAGTTATCATTTTATATCTCAAGGTAAATAAATTTGTTCATGACTCAGACTGCTGCAGCATCAGTATTGCTTCTTGAAAGTATAAGAAGTCATAGAATTTTTAGACTTCCGTTACTCTGAAACAATGTAAAAAGTGTGGTCTTGGAATTCAGAAGCTATTACAAAAAATAACAAAGAGATGATTCGATTGAGTAGCATGGAGCTTTTATGATTCAATAGAAATTTGAGTTTATCAGATGGCTTATGTATTAGTATTTGATTAGGAATTACAAAATAATTGAAATACACCGTAGAAAGAGAAACAATAACCAAAGAGAATGGGAATGGAGTTCGCTCTATGTATGTGTACGTACATATTTATGATCGTCCTCTCATTCACACGTTTGCGTATACACACTGAAAAAGATTTGGTGCTGCAGTTGTCCCTCCCCCTACAGCAGCTATACCAAATCACTATTAGTCTGCTGTCTCTGACTACTGGGATAGCAGTAGGTATCCCAGTCGGAACAGCGTACGTACGAGCTCAAGTATAGTAGCGTTACCTATAGTGTGGTTTGACGTATGTATCATAGGTTAGGTGCATCGCATATATAGGTCTTGTGCAGCTCTCGTCTCAACTGGTATTGCTGGTGCACTAAACTTCCGAACTAGCACTGTACTACCGGTGGTACTCTGACGGCGCTGAATCTTTCTCAGTGCACCTGCACGTTTGCATACTCCTACGGAATAACGCACATGCTTGTATGTTACTTATGCACAAGCACACGCGTACAAGCACGAGCGTACGCATACATGCGATCGTACGCATACATCATGTACGAACGTACACATGCACGATGTGCAAGCGTATTCGTGCATCACGCAAGAGCGTACACATGCATCATGCGCGAGTGTACGCATGGTCGTGCGAGCGTAGGGGAGACCGGGGCGAGATGGGTGTTCGGGGAATATGGGTATTTGCAATATTTCAAAAATAATGATATGTTAATTGCTATACTTTTGTTTATTGCATATTTAAAGATAAAGTAGTTTTTAATTATAAAAAATAGTGATCCAATCAATTAAAAAACTAAGATATTTGACGATGAAAATTCAGGCCGTTAAAAAAAAATAATTTTAAGGATTTTCAACGAACAAAAAAATTATGAAAAATAATATACTGAAGGCTAAAAACTTATCTTTCTAAATGTTTAATTATCTAACTTCAAATTGATGACCTATTTTCATATTACCCTTTAAGAATAAAATTGTTGTAACTGTTTTAAATAAAAATTACCTTTGGGGCGGAATGGGTGTATTTTCATGAGGTGATATGGGTATATCGGCTCGGTTGCGGTAGCCTATATGCAGGCGCATATAAATAAAATAAAATAGGATGTATCAAATACTATAGGTACATTCCTACGTACCTACTTTTGTTAAGTAATTTAGTTAATTTTCAGTGTAGGTGATAGCAAATATTAATGGTGCGTAACTATAAAAAGGTAACGAGCAGGCAGTCATGGTCTGCCGAAGATTTAAAAAGTGCATTAGACGCTTTAGCGAAAGGGAAAACACTATGATCCATATCCAAAAAATTCAAGATTCCTCGAGAAACATTGCGAAGAAAATTTATTAAGATGTCAAAAACACAAGTTTTAGACGATTTTGCTTATAAACCAGGTGAGTACGCTATAAAAACGTCGATCAATATTTTGAGGTTAAATGTATTTTTATGTAATAATTTTAGCTTTAGGGTACAAGTCTGTTTTTACTGCAGAGCAGAAAAAGTATATGTGCGACAAAATTTTAGAGAATGAGGCAAGATTGCATGGTTTCACCCAATTGGAAGTTCGAAGGCTAGGGTACACCTTTGCTCAAAATTTAAATATACCAAATCGTTTCAAGAATGATACTCAGTTAGCTGGAGAAGACTAGTTTAAAGGTTTTCTCAAACGAAATCCTTAACTCTCACTCAGAAAACCAGAGCCAACATCTGCAGCTAGAGCAAGTGGCTTTAACAAACGTAGCATTGATGAATTTTATAAAATACTGAAAAGTGCATATGATCAGTATGATTTTGATGCTCAAAACATCTACAATGTAGATCAGACAGGTGTTTCTTGCAACCCTAAGAGCCAAGCAAAAGTGGTAGCATTAAAAGGCAAGAGGCAGGTTGGTTCGAAAGTTTCTGCAGAAAGAGGCACAACTGTGACTGCCTGTATATGTTTTTCGGCCTCAGGGAAATATATGCCACCGATGCTAATATTTCCTCGCAAGAATGAAAATCCAAGATACTTGGAAGGCAAGCAGCAAGATTCATGGGCTGAGTTTAATGGAAGTGGCTGGATGGAAGAGAAAGTATTTACAAAGTGGCTAGAACGGTTTATTCATTTCTCAAATGCAAGTACGAGTAATCAAGTATTGTTGCTATTAGATGGCCATGCAACGCATGTTAAGAACCTTGATGCAATTAAACTGGCTCAATCTAATGGTGTTGTGATGATCTGCTTTCCCCCACACTGTACCCACAAAATTCAGCCACTGGATGTATCTTACATGAAGCCATTAAGAAATTTTTATACTGCTGAGGTAAATAAATGGATGAGAGAGCATCCTCAGTGTACCATAGGATTGAAAGATATTTTTTCAATTTTTACTCCAGCATTTTTAAAAGCTTCTTGTATGGCTACTGCTGTCAATGCATTCAGGAAGACTGGTATTTTTCCTTTCAATCCAGAAGTATTCACTGAAGATGACTTTGTAGCATCAAAATCCATTGGTAGTATTGCTACCACAAGCTCAGGTGAAAGTAAGTGAGCCTCTTTATTTTGCTTGGTATTTTTATTAATATATGATTTTCAATCTATATTTTTTACTCAGATGCAGTAACAAGCATACAAGCTCTCACAAGAGAATAGATAAGTATATTTATACTCTTAAATTATCATACGGAAAGCAACATAACTTTGCGTTCAAAAAATTTGCATATGTGCATGCCGTTGTTGTGAAATGTAGATCTCACCCGTGATCTATAATATGCAAGTCCTGAATAGCTCAGCTGGTTAACTATCTCATTGGTATACAATAGTTCATCATATTGATCTGTTGAAGACTTGAACTTTTAATTTTTTCTATTTTAATTTATAAATTAACTTATTATTATCGCAAGATAGTGACGCATCCTGTAACGCCTTCTGGAATCTTAAAAGCAAAAGTTCACAACCACCATTTTCCAGTTGTCAAGTCGTAGTAGACAGTATCAGTGATAGTAAAAAAATAATCAATGAATTTTTACTGTACTTTTTAAAAAAATATTGCAAATAAACGATGTAACTAATAATTATGGGTCTTTTAAAGAGGTATCCTATCCAAAATTTAATTAAAAAAAATTCGATACTTATAAGCATGAGGAATAAAAAATATATAAATAAAAAAAAGTATGTAAGTCCTGAAGAGCTCGAGTTAAATCAACGTTTCACGCCAATAAAACCATTAACCACCTGAGCTATTCAGGACTTGCATTTTCCAAAATCCGAATAAGGTACTAAAATAACTTTGTAAGTACTAAAAGTAATAAAAGTATACGAGTCGATCATTTTTGTTGTTGGATACCAAGTCAGGTAACGTTTTTCCGCTGCATGCTCGCTCTATTTACCTAATAGAGTAGTTAAGAGGAGAAAGTGGCGTTTGATGTGAGTGTAGAGACAAATTATCTGGCACACACACATTGAACCAAGCCATACGTGGATGTATATCTATTTATGTGAGTATGTAAGTATGCATGCACATGTGAAAATATTAGCTATATCACCGTACCATTACAAACACCATCATCCAGTATTCAACGTACAAGCTTTTCAAAAGATAATAAGTATAAAAAATATTGCCATAATGGATACCTGCCGGTAACACCCGTGGACAAGTATGATGTGCGGTCCAACTGCCTATGGGAAAACAGTTTTTGTTAAAAGATTTTTAAACAATTTATAACAAATGACAAATTTTACGATTAAGCGTATTTTATTTTATTATGCGGAGTCGCAGGATGGTTATAAAAGTAAATTTGTCCTTACTTGGTAGAAATTGAAGAAAACTTTTCACCTATATGTCTTACATATGCACATCAACATTTCGAAAGTGAATAGCGATTTTGTGTATTACATAAAGCATACTTACTGAAAGAAGGGCTTAACAATAAAAACATTAGTTAAACGGAACGCATACAAGTGGGTAATATCAAGTTGATATTCACATTATCTTACGGAATGAAATCAATAATTTTTGTTAAAAATACAATTAGCGATGGACAAGATGGAAATAAGAAAAAAAAGAAAACGTACGGTTCAACCACTGTCATGCAACACGGTACCTTTTTAGGACTCACTCAAGCTGTTATATGTGTGGATGAAAGACTACGCCATATCGAGGGTGCAGCAATGTTAGTTAAGAAGTGCAAGGAATTCATAGTGGATGAGTTAACTGTTTTATTAGAAAGTAAAACTCTAGTGAAAAAAACCAGTGTATTAAATTTGGATGAGTTGATTAAAGAATATTACTTAACTTCACAAAAAAATGTTAAAGGAAATCCTTATTCTGTAATTGATAATTTATTTTTAGAGGAAAATTTTTACATGGTATTTTAAGAGTTAACTACGTGCTGATAAGAAATACTTTAAAACTACATACATTTTAAATTGAATAGAATAAATAATATTGTAGGACATTAAGACATCGTGTTTCACGCTTCGTTTCAAGATATCGTTCATAGTTTCGCAAACTATTTTCAAAATTTTCACATCACCTCTAAGATTTACAAATATTGTTAGGTAATGTAGGTAATACGACTCCTTCACTTTCACCTACATTTTTAGCTTCGTGGTTAATTCATCGTCATAACCCTAGAGCTTTGTGTGTAATCAACTATTTCTTGAAATGTTGACACATTCAAAAATTAAATTTTATTTTCTTGAACACTGCTATCTCAACACTAGGGTCTGGTCTAATTTCTACTCCCGTCAGTATTTGGTTATACGAAAAATGTACTTCGATACTTTTTTTAATTGGAATAATAAGTTTTTAATCGTCAATTAGAGAAATATTTTATACACAAAGACATACAGAATGTAATTTTATGTAAACACATGCCTACAGATAAAGGGATTCAAAACCAAAGTGTAATTATTTTTATGAATAATAAAATTTAGTTAAGGAGAGTGTTTTGTCTCATTTTCGTGGTGTAATGTGGAATCTTTACCAACAGTGTAATAACCTCGCTACGTTCTGAGGACTGTCTTAAACATAGACAACTAAAGAAAAAATGTGTGTGTAGTACTGTAACGAGGTAAATCTGGCCTCCAGACTCATGCTATTCTCGCTGACGCAACGAGTATGACGTCACACTGGCAAAGGCTTACTTTCCTGGAATTGTTTTCTATTTGTCTCGAGTCGAGAGCCATCGCACGCGCATACAAGCCAGAGGTTCTGCGAGTTGAGAGAGAGAGCGAGAGAAAGCTGTTTTCAGATCGAGAGAGAGAGAAGAGAGAGCTGCTGTGTCCCCGTCGTCGGAGACCATCACCGTGAGGAGATCCAGGACGAAAGAGAGAGAGAGAGCGACCGCAGAACGAGAAAGAAAGAGAGAGAGTAAGACCGTAGCCATCAGCCCCACAGACTCACCAGCAGCTCGAGCCGCTCGAGGCCCAGCAGGACGCCATACGCCTTTGTCACGAGTCAGAGAGCTGAGAGGTAGCGTGTTTCTTTTCCCTCCGTTTTTCGTGCGCCGTGCTAGGGCTCGCGAGCACTGGTAGGCCTTCTGGACGAGGTCCAAGAGTAGACAGAGGATAGGAAAAGAGAGAGAGAGAGAGAGAGAGTGCGAATGCGAGAGAAATAAAGAGAGAGAGGGCCAGGTCACGAAAAGTCGTGGGTGCATGCTCAGGAGTGCCGGATTTCAGGTGTTCGCGCGTTTCCGCTCTAGGTGTGTAGGACAGAGGGGCATAACCAAAGGAGAGAGTAAGAGAGAGGAAGAGAGAGAGAGAGAAAAGGACTGGGACTAGAGACAAAAGAGGACAAGGGCAAGGTTACCAGGAGACAGTGAGAGTACGAGAGAGAGAGAGAGAAAGAGAGAGAGAGCGAAGAAAATTTTAACCGAATGAGAAGGAAAAGGCAGCGGTAGAAGATAGTAAGATTGTGTGTTTGGCAGGGAAGGGACAGAGGTGAGAGGTTGTGTGTGAGGGCGTGCGCGAGTGTGCGTGTGTGCGTGCGTGACGTGGCCAGGAGTGTGTTAGGGCAGCAGCCCCTCCTAGTCTCATAACCCCGAACGTGCGCTCACGGTTCGCGCGGCGAAGTGGAGCCGCTGTAGCACCGTTAAGGAGTTATTTGTAGAGCAGTGTGGAGAGTTGTAATAAACAATTTCCTTAACTTGACGTGATAGAATTTCCCATACTTATTTTTCTCGGTAGAACGAGAGAAAATTCCCGTGCAAACTCCCCTTTTCAGGAGCAGAATCCAGGATGATGAGGGACCCGGAGGACGCACGAGATAAGGTGTCCACTTTCTACGTATCCCCCCCTTTTTATTTTCAGGTACGAATGCAGCGTGACAGTACCATATTTGTTATACTTTCAAGACTACAGAAGGATTTATGCTAATATACAACGGTACTGATAATAAGAATTCTTCAATGCTGAATCAATGCTGAATCAACGTTGATTTTTGCGTTGAATCAACGCTGAACCAACGTTGAATCAACGTTGATTCTATGAATAACGGAACACTAAAATCAGTCGTAATTTACATTGTTGATTCAACACTGATTCAACATTGAATCAGCGTTGATTCAGCGTTGATCAAAACGTTAAAATTAAATTTTAAAAAATTACAAAGTAGTATAATAACATTTGGAGCAGATATATTGACGTTAGTGGAGGTACGATCCGTATGGTAACACCAAAACAGGGGGGTTCAGTTATTTGATGTTAAACTGTATTGAATACGCATTATATTTTTCTATTATTAAATTAACTTTTAAATCAACGCTGATTCAACGCTGATTCAACATTGAATCAGTGTTCATTCAACGTTGAATCAACAATGTAAATAACGACTGATTTCAGTGTTCCGTCATTCATGGAATCAACGTTGATTCAACGTTGGTTCAGCGTTGATTTATCGCTAAAATCAACGTTGATTCAGCATTGATTCAGCATTGAAGTTTTTTATTGGGCAGTATTCTGATCTGTTTTGAACTTCTATTACGGAAAAAGTTTTTATGTATGTTCAGATTATCAAACGAAGTTGAACATACAGTTTGAGAGGCTACTGTGAAGTTTTGGAGCCACCACTTTTGTCTTTATAACTTAAGTATACTTGAAGTGAAATGTGAAACAAAGGGGTGTTAAGAAAAGTGTTGCAAGCCTTAAATGTATTTCACTGTGGAATGTGAGCTTGTTATGCTTCCAAAAAATACGTTGAGAAAAATAAGTAAACTGAGAATTAGATGAAAGCAGCACATTTTCTTAAGTTTATAAGCATTAAACTAATTTTTTTATTTTTTAAAAGCAAAAAATATTCTTAGGCATTTTTGGTATATTTTTTAAAATTATATGCAAGCGTATAGTGTATATTTCTTGTAAAATATGTGTATTAAATGAACTTTAAATGAATTTTAAAAAGTTTTTTTTCAAAAAATCTCACTTCCTACCCACTTCTGTTACCTTAATAATAATTAAAAAAGAAAAAAAGAAAAAACTATTATTACCGGCCGAGCAACGTTGGTAATTATAATTAAATTACTCGGGATACCTCGCATTTTTTTCTGTGCACCACGCGTTTACAGGATTATTGACTCACCAAGTCACGTAATGTTGGCGAAAAAAAAAAATTATTTTTACCTACCAAGCTATGTTTATAATTATATTCGAAT